CGAGCAAACGTCGCCTCGTGATCATTCGAGGCTACCATTTGCACGTGCTTGAGCTAGGCGATCTTCGGTCACACTCTTCGTTGAGGTTTAATCGCTGTGGTCATTGACTCGGTGTTCGACGACTCTTCCAGTCGTCGGTTCGTTGGCGTAAACAAGTAGCCATCGATCGTTCGTTGACGGACGGTCGTCGTCTCTGAATACCGAACGAATGTCATGGCAAGAACGTGTTTCTAACGTGAGGGTTTCAAACGCTGCCGCTGCTGCTGCCGCTGGCGGTGCCGTTGAGGCTTAGGATCGATCGGTGAGTGAAGTGTGCAAGTTATCTTGACGCTGCCTCGTCGTTCCGCCGCTTTCTCTTGCCGTTTTGCGTTCTCGTTCTCCTCGTCGACCACCTCGTCAAGTCCGCCCTCGCACTTGTTTATATTTATGAATAACGTTGTCGAAAAGGCGACCTCTATTCGTAATACCTGCAGCAACGATGGCGGCGGATACCTCTCTTTGTTAGATGTTCCGTTGTCAGAGCGGCCATCTCGCATGCCCTCGCTGGTCCTCCGTTTGGCCCGTCGACGAATCAACTCGGGTCCTTTCAATTTCGATTTCCGTTGCTGTTGCGTCGTCAATCTTTGATCTCGACAGCACAGTGGACCGACGCACACCACAACGCATGAACGCTTGACTCGCTTTCGGTGGCCGACATCTGTTTTGACGTGTCGTCGTTCGTGAGCGTTTGAGCTCGGCTGTTCGCACCGGCCGGCGGCTTACCGCTGCTGCTGCTCCCCTCTCTACAACAGCGATCCATAACTTCGCTGATTGCATCTCGTGTATAATCATTTAGAGCGTTTTTTTTATTTTATGTCTATGTCATATTGTTTTGGCCTTGTTTCTTAATTTCCTCCATTTTCGCATCTACAAGCGGTCATATTTCAGATCTAATGTTGAATTCTTCTTTTCAATATTCTGAAGTTGAAGTTGACCATCTGTGGACTTTCGTAGAGGGTAAATTTTCTTCTTGGCATGCATCACCTCATGTCGGTTATTTTCTTGTTCTTCTTATTCATTTCGTTATTGATTTTGCAATGACTCATTGAAATGGTTGAGAAGTTTCTTTCATCGTCGTGTATCCATCGTTGCGTTCGTCTCTGTGATACATGTTGGTTCTGGAAACCACGTTAGCAGGCTTTTCGTCACAAGTCATTCGTAAGAGAGCAAAAACCCATCTCTGTAAACCCCGGTCGTCGGCAGCAACTGACCGTTGCATCCTTGTGATAGAAAACATTGCTTCATACGCCGTTATGAATTGAATTGTTAAATGACATCTTCTCATTAAATGGCTTTCCGTTGCTTGTTGCCCCATTCACTTGACTGTAGTTATCTTGGGTAAGAGGGAGTTAGAGGGGACATGATCTAAAGTTGAAGATTGTTAATCAGATCGTTGCTGTAAATACTGAATTTTGGCCAAGATTTGGACTTTTATTGCCGACTGCTTCTCTTGTTGACTATTTGACTGTGTTTCGACAGATCGTCTGTAACAGAATGACCGAATTGCTCAATTCGTAGAGCATCGAACTCATAACTGCGAGGTCTCATTTTCAGGACTCGGTCATTTCACTCGCTTTTCTTCCTTCCGAGGTGGATAAATTAAGAACATTGAGGAGTAAGCAAACACCAGACTGGACACTATGCCTACAGGTTCCAAAAACTGCCATTAAAATACGCTATCTTTTCTGATGTCATGGAAATGGAGACCAGCGCCGCACCATTAGCCTC